TTACTGGAGTAGACATGAGCTTTGTGGGCACTAGAACAGGGTGGTTGGGGCAGCTGAAGACCAATTTCCCTACAGACTAGTGATGACCTGGGTTATTCCAGCGGTTCCTTAGGGGGTGAGTGCTACACTTACATATTGGCAGAATCTATAGATAGGTGACTGAAAAGAAGATATGGCTGACGATCTTGATGAGTTTTAATCTCACAGAATACATCTTGATAATGTGATTAGTTCTATAGGTTAAAACAAATATCTTAACCCAGCATGAAGTGAGAAAGATGTGGGTACATGCTGTCAGGTAGATAACTTGAGAACAAACAACAGGGGGAGAGAAGAAACAACTTGCTGAAATGGCAAACCCATATGAAGAACAGCATAACTCCCACACAACACTCCCTGCCTGAAATCTTTTAATTTCACTACAATAAACATTCCAGAGTCCAAATTAATTCAATGCAATCTTGTCCTCTGAGACCTGAAAGACAAAACAAAGAACAGCAACAATAGCATAACTCGGTTGCATGTAGAAGTCGCAAATGATTATCCGTAGGAAAATAAAAGGTGCAGGTCTTCAGAAGGGCAAAGCAACAACAGCTCCAAACCTTAGGACTTCCTGTAACAAAACAACCCATCTTCAAGTCAGTGATTTAAATCCATCATTCACACAGAAGTGCTTTTATACAAAATGACAAGCATGTGTCCCATTTTCTTGTTTACCTCTTAGGTTGTTCTTCTTAGCCCATAGATTGCCAATGTGGGTCAGGGACTAGTTCTAAATCAGTGTACCTTCACATGGTAGTCTATGACCTTGACATTTAAGTAATTGTTCCTATTCTATAGGAACCTAAGGTAGTTTCTGTCCTGGTCACGAATGATAAAGCACTGAAACATTTGCTAAATGTCAGCCATTACTTCTGTAGGCTCTAAAGTGATTTAACACCCTTATAAGGCTGTAATTCCAGTTAGGCCTGGTAAGGAGACGATTATTCAAACTGACTTCATCATACTGAGTTCTAGAGTCAAATAGTACTCTAATTTGACTAGGTTTTATGAGGGTGGTATACGCCAAAAGAAGGAATGTATCAGCATTCTTCACCCTCCTTTGAAGGTGGGGTAGGTTCAGGATGGTTATAGTCCAACACCTTTTGCGTGAATAATAATTTTTACCTTATGTTTGGTTTCTTCTCAAATTAGTGTTTTAATTAAGAAAATCTGGAAATTGTTGGCAATGGTTTGGTAAATTCTTCCTAGGTATATGAAAGGGCAGAGGGGCTACACTGCAGTGACGTGCGGTACCCGTTCTTCCGGGTGAGGTATTCCCCAGCCTCGCCCCCAGCATGCCCTGCCCCGCCGATCGAATCC